CAAAATCCACTTTAATAACTAACCATAACACCACCTACATCTAACATCCAGCTCTACACTCCACTACAACATCCACACCTACACCTACCACAAATATCTCACACCTTACCACAAATATCCAGCCTATTCATTCCACCATAAACATCCATATACACCTACCACAAATATCCCAGCTACTCACTACACATTTCCACTCCACCATAAATATCCAGCCTACACCTACCACAACATCCAGCTCTTACACCCATCATAAATATCCAGCTCTACATATTTAACCACAATATCCACACCACACCTACCACAACATCCACATTCTACCACAAATATCCAGCTTTACTCCACCATAAATATCCAGCCCACACCCACCTACATAAACATCCACACTCCAACCACAACATTCACATTGGACACTACACTTACCATAAATATCCACACCACCATAACATCTTACACCTAACCACCACAATAACATCCTTACATTACACCTACCACAACATCCAGCTCTACACTCCACCACAACATCCACACTACACCTACCACAACATCCACTCCACCACAACATTCCAGCCCATACCCACCAAAACATCCAGCCTACACTCCACCATTCAAATATCCAGCCTACACCCCTACACTCCACCACAACATCCAGCCTACACTCTACCACCACAAATATCCAGCCTACACTCCACCATAAATATCCACTACCACACTCCACTACAATATCCACACCTACACTTACAATATCCAGCCTACACCCACCACAAATATCCAGCACCACACTCCGCCACAACATCCACACCATGCCACAACATCCATCTATACCACACCCACCACAATATCCAACCCACAACACCACCACAATATTCACACAACCACAATAACATACACATGTATACCACACACTCTTACCACAAATATCCATACTCACTATAACATCCATACCATATCTTACCACAAGCAACATCCATAATTAAATCTACCTACAAATATCCAGCTCCATGCTTACATACAATATCCAGCCTACATACTCTACTACAAATATCCACACCACCACAATATTCACATCTAATTTCTACTACAATATTCATATCCACACCACACCATACTAACCATAATATTCAGTCCATACACTCTACTAAAATATCCACACAACACCTACCACAATATCCACACCACACTGTTCACAAACACCCAGCCCTACACCTACCACAACAGCCACACCACACCAAACCACAACATCTACACCACTGCTACCACAACATCCACACCACACCTATCACAACATCCAGCCTCAAGCACCTTACCACAACACCTTAGACTACCACAACGTTCACATCCAATACCACACCACCACAATATTCATACTTACTACAATATTCATATCAACACCACACTCTACCACAAAAATCCAGTCAACACCCACCACAAACATCCACACTACACCTACCACAATATCCAGCACCCACCCACCTATAACATCTACATCCACATATTATACCTACCACAAAATCTAGTCCATACCAAACCACAAAACCACACCTACACCACAACATCCATACACACACACCTACCATAAACATCCAGCCTACACCTACCACACAACATCCATACTCACACCCACTACAAATATCCACACTCCACTACAACATCCAGCCCACTCCACCACAAACATCCAGCTCTACACCCACCATACAAATATCCAGCTCTACACCTACTACAATATCCACACCACACATTTACCATAAATATCCACACTCTACTACACCATATCCACACCACACCTACCACAATATCCAGCTTCCACACCTACCATACAAATATCCATACCTACCACCACAAATATCCATTACTTACACTCATAAATATCCAGCCCACACCTACTACCACAAATATCCACAATTACACCTACCACTACAATATCCATACTCTACCACAAATATCCAGCTTCCACACTCCACATACAATATCTTATACTATCCATAAATATTCACAATTACACACCTCACAAATATTCACATCAACACCACACAAGTCACAACACAATATTCATACTACACATACCTACTACAACAGCCATACACTACACTAACCACAACATTTTACACTACTGCTACTACAATATCCATACTACACCTATCATAAATATCCAGCTCAAGCACTCCACCATAACACCTAGACCACCACAACGTTTCATATCCACACCATTCCTACAATAATATTCACACCTACTACAAATATTCATACATCCACACTCACACTCTACCACAAAATCCAGTCTACACCCACCATAAATATCCACACCACACCTACCATACAAATATCCAGCTCTACACCTACCATACAACATCCATACACACTACATTCCACTACAACATCCAGCCATACTCACACACAAATATCCAGCTCCATACCTACTACTAAATATCCAGCTCTATACTACCACAAATATCCAGCTCTACATTACCACAATATCCATACCATTACACTCCACTACAACACTCCACACCTACCACAATATCCACACTTACACCTACTACAAATATCCAGCCATTTACACTCCACCACAACATCCACACTCCAGTCACAAATATCCACACTCACCACAACATCCAGCTCCACACCCACCACAATATCCAGCTCCACACCTACCACAACATATCCACACTCTACTACATAACATCCAGCTCCACACCTACCACAAATATCCATACCATCCACAACATTCACACCACACCACCACAACATTCACATCACACCACACAAGTCACAACACAACATTCACACCACACCCACCACAACAGCCACACCACACCAACCACAACATCTACACCACTGCCACCACAACATCCACACCACACCCATCACAACATCCAGCCCGCACCCACCACAACACCCAGACCACCACAACGTTCACATCCACACCACACCCACCACAATATCCACACCACCACAACATTCACATCCACACCACACCTACCACAAAATCCAGTCCACACCCACCACAACATCCACACCACACCCACCACAACATCCAGCACCCACCCACCATAACATCCACATCCACACCACACCTACCACAAAATCCAGTCCACACCAACCACAAAACCACACCCACCACAACATCCACACCACACCCACCACAACATCCAGCCTACACCCACCACAACATCCACACCACACCCCACCACAACATCCAGCCCCACACCCACCACAACATCCACACAACATCCAGCCACAACATCCACACTCCACACCACAAACATCCACATCCACACCCACCACAACATCCACACCACACCCACCACAACATCCACACCCACCACAACATCCAGCCCACACCCACCACAACATCCATACCATCCACAACATTCACACCACACCACCACAACATTCACATCACACCACACAAGTCACAACACAACATTCACACCACACCACCACAACATTCACATCCACACCACCACAACATTCACATCACACCACAACATTCACATCCACACCACCACAACATTCACATCACATCACCACAACATTCACATCCACACCACACCACAACATTCACATCCACACCACAACATTCACATCCGCACAACACCACAACATTCACATCTACATCACCACAGCATTCACATCCACACCACCACAACATTCACATCAACACCACACCACAACATTCACATCCACACCACCACAATATTCACATCACACCACCACAACATCATTCACATCCACACAACACCACCAAACATTCACATCCACACCACACACCACAACATTCACATCACACCACCACAACATCCACACCACACCACAACATTCACATCTACACCACCCCAACATTCACATCACACCACCACAACATTCACATCCACACACCACCACAACATTCACATCCACACCACACACCAAAACATTCACATCCACACCACACCACCACATCCACACCACACACCAAAACATTCACATCCACACCACCACAACATTCACATATACACCACACCACAACATTCACATGAACACACAACATTCATATATACACCACAACATTGACACCACATCACCACACTACACCACCACAACATTCACACCACATTCCAGACCTCACCCACACCTACACCCACATCCATATCCTTCTGTGATTACATCAAACCTTTAGTGATTCCCACAAGCTAGATTGACCACAGCCTTACATTTTACACATGTAACACTTTCAGTACGAAGCATATATCATTGGTTTCTTCATTGATTTTGATGCAAATTCTCCCACTATCCCTTGTAAATATCGGGTTACAACACATCTTTTATATCTGGAAGCTCTATCTGCAGCTTTATGCTTAATTCACATCGAAGTATCATCCAGTATTGTGTACCTAACTACAGCAATGGAAGCAAAGACGATGTCATGGGAAGTCATAAGAATGATAATTATGGTGATGATATCAATGTGGATGAGATATAAATTTCAAACAAAAACAGGAATGACAAACATTTCAGGCATATTGTAACCAGATAACCACTATTACTAAAACAACTACATTAATGATTTCACTCTTTTATGAAATGCTAAAGCATTACTTACAAATCAGAAGAAACATTGTCAGTCACAGTTATTACAATCTCTATATTCTGCCATGAAGGCCATTATTATTGTTTCCAATTCAGAACCACATTTCTTTTACATTTTCTTTATTGAAATATTTAAATCAAAACAGTGTGTTCAGTTAAATGCAGTATGAAGTGTTGATAAGAAGTGCTCTGTAGATAATACAGTGACAATATCTTATACCAATACCAGGTGAGCTACAGATGGACAAGGGAGACTACCTATGTGGGACAAATTACAGAAAAGGTTTGCACTGATGGCCCAGTGTACAACAAGCATTACCCCAAAAGAGTTAAAATAACTGAACAACAGATCAATCGAAAAGATGACCCTGAAGCCCTCCCTCCACCTGTTGCCTCTCCATGCATGGGGGTGGGCTTGGTAGGACTCCCCTTACCTTCAGCTTCTTGATATTCCTCCCCACTGTCAGGATTTGTCCTTTCTGAAGGGTAAAAGACACACAGTAAGATGGAAACATCAGCATCTAGATGGCCTTCCAGCGAAGTGTGAACACTTGTACATGAACATTAAATAACACCACAGATAAATAACTACAATTGTGGTACAGATATTTCACAGAGTACAGCACTTCATTGTCCATGGGCAAAGAAATCCGAGAAGCCATTTTGTTCTCTAACTAATGATCACTCATATTGCCTGTTGTCCAAAACAGAAATGAGTTGTTTGGTATGATGAATTTCTCCATTACAGTTCATGTCAAGACACATACTGATAACATTAATCACATCAAATAATGTCTGAAGCAAGTCCCTATTTTGACGTGTACATACATTGCCCTGATTTCTTTTTGAAGTAACCAACTGACTATCCTTTGTATATATTTATGATGGATGCCACCAGTGTGGCAGGATACCCTTTTCACAATCCCTATTTGATGGTGATTCATAAAGACATGCTTGTGATATTGTTGAAATCCATCAGCAGACCGTGCTCCTGACAGAGGCCTCTTGTTAATGTAGAAAGAGTTTTGTAATTATATTTGATAAAGAAAATGAAATTTCTAATAGATATTTCAAATATTCATTGTCATAATTAAAATCAGTTGTCATCATTTACTTATACTTTACAATTAGAATACATATTGGATGATACCTTGATGAGACTGGACTGGGTACATACAAAATACATCTAACTCTCTTCCTTAGAAATACATAGTTAAAGCGTCAATGTGACATTCTGGTGACTAAAGCGACAGAGATGTCTGGGTATGTCACACAGACCCTGAACCACATATACCCAAGCAGTCCATGCAAGTCTATAACAGTTGGCAAGTCTAGGCTACATCATGTTTGTAACTGATGAAAATGAAGAGTCTGTGGGCTACTTGTTATTATATAAAATTAAGATATTTTAACAACTGATTTTTCTGAAATATTTCTAGGACGAGACAGTGACTTAGCTTCCCAAATAGGCTACATCTACTATCTGAAATGAACATGTTTTATAGATTGTTTTTCTTCTAAATTATAATCATAAAATATAATAAAAGAGAGCCCAGAGACTTTCTTCATTTCCTGAAGCTGGAAATCTAGACTTGCCACATAATCTAAACTTGCATGGGCTTTTTGGGACATGTTTGTTTCAGGGTCTGTATGACAGACTACTTCCCAAACAAAACTATGGTCTTCTGGTATTGTATGGACCCAGAATATTTTCTATTGATTATGATCCGGTGTATGAGAGAGCAACAATGTTTTTCACATACTGCTTTCAATGCGAGTCTGATAATCTGGTGCCTCCAGTCCCAGAATCTTCACGTCATTAGTGATGAGGGGTCGAGTGACTGCAGCTCCCGACATATTTACAAAGTAGTCCATCACCTCCGACAGGCACGGGATCGACTTGTGCTGAAATAACAGCATACAGGCTGTATATTCCAAGCATCACCATGAGATCTGAGTATGTCCAGTTTCCCTGACCACAAGTTCCATTTGTGACTTGCTTGTTATGAACACAAGGTACTTAAACAAAACAAATATGTTTAGTGAGCCCATTATGCACTGTGAATTATTTTCACCCTGCTGTTATTTATTTGATGTTTGTCAGCACACCTTAAATTAGTGTCAGAGAAAGAACTAGTTGTGTGGACTGTACAGAAATGCTGGGCATTGTTTAAGTGATACATTTGTGTGAATGAGTAGTACCAATTAAGGCCCAAGTGACAAGAGGTCCTCTTCACTACACTTCTATAAGGTAACAGTGACTAATTTTGATGTCTATGGTCTGACCGAATGCCATTGTGCCAGGGCACATAAATGCTGTTCCTTGTTTCGCTCATGACTTACTGAACTGGTTTCATGCTGTGGTTATTTATATACAGAAATAACACAACTGCCTGTATGTAACCGGCTTTTGACCAGGCTAACCAGTGGTTAAAAGCATGAGCAAGAATCATGGCACAAACCATCAGCTGGTCTTACACACACTGTTCACTCACAATGTCAGTCTAGTCAGTTCTTACAACAAGCACGGTGGTCACACACTGTTCACAATGTCAGTCTAGTCAGTTCTTACAACAAGCACGGTGGTCACACACTGTTCACTGTTCACAAGCATGTCAGTCTAGTCAGTTCTTACAACAAGCACGGTGGTCACACACTGTTCACAATGTCAGTCTAGTCAGTTCTTACAACAAGCACGGTGGTCACACACTGTTCACAATGTCAGTCTAGTCAGTTCTTACAACAAGCACGGTGGTCACACACTGTTCACTATGTCAGTCTAGTCAGTTCTTACAACAAGCACGGTGGTCACACACTGTTCACTATGTCAGTCTAGTCTGTTCTTACAACAAGCACTGTGGTCACACACTGTTCACAATGTCAGTCTAGTCAGTTCTTACAACAAGCACGGTGGTCACACACTGTTCACAATGTCAATCTAGTCAGTTCTTACAACAAGCACGGTGGTCACACACTGTTCACAATGTCAGTCTAGTCAGTTCTTACAACAAGCACGGTGGTCACACACTGTTCACAATGTCAATCTAGTCAGTTCTTACAACAAGCACGGTGGTCACACACTGTTCACAATGTCAATCTAGTCAGTTCTTACAACAAGCAAGTGGTCACACACTGGTGGTCACACACTGTTCACAATGTCAGTCTAGTCAGTTCTTACAACAAGCACGGTGGTCACACACTGTTCACAATGTCAATCTAGTCAGTTCTTACAACAAGCACGGTGGTCACACACTGTTCACAATGTCAATCTAGTCAGTTCTTACAACAAGCACGGTGGTCACACACTGTTCACAATGTCAGTCTAGTCAGTTCTTACAACAAGCACGGTGGTCACACACTGTTCACAATGTCAGTCTAGTCAGTTCTTACAACAAGCACGGTGGTCACACACTGTTCACAATGTCAGTCTAGTCAGTTCTTACAACAAGCACTGTGGTCACACACTGTTCACAATGTAATGGTCAGTCTAGTCAGTTCTTACAAGCACGCTGGTCATGGGGACATATTCATCGGTTGGCTGACAAATTAGTTCAATGTATTTTACGCACTGCATTTTCCACATTGATCTTGAAGCCTTCAGCGATGCGGATCACCTCAAAGTGGTTAAATGGGTTCCGTCTGCCAAACATAATGTAATATCATTATTTATTATGTAATCTCAATATTTATTATGTAATCTCTGACAAACATAATGTTAACTTTGACAAACACAATTTAATCTCTGAAATACATGACGTGAACTCTGACAAACATGATGTATTTTCATCGTTCATAATATAGACTGCCAAAACAAAGTCATAACATTGAGAGTGAGAGAGTGATCATGGTATTAGACAGCATGTAGCAATATTCCTGCAATATCATGGTGTTCACACATTGTACCATGTGAGGAATCCAAACCTTTCATGTGGTCAGAGTGGTTTTATATCAACATCAACACACTCTTTGTGGATGGCATTTAGAAGTGACACACATGAAGTGGGTCGACTTATGGATGTCAAGTTCTGTAATATGAGCTACATGTTTCGGAGTATATTCTTATACCTTAATCCCCTGTCCGTCTTTTTATCAGGGCACGCCAAACGAAGGTCATTTTGAAGGCGAGATGAACAAAAGAAATGACTACTTAATATTCATTTAAACATTCCTGCCATCCGTGTGCCTGATCTCATTTTGACATGCCTTGACATGTTATTATTCCTTAGAGCAGCATGACATCTACATCATCATCTTTCCTAGAGTCACACACGTACCTAGCATGTTCCATCTTCTTCGTGATGACGTAACTCCCAGTGTCCCGGAATGTGACGCTCTCTCTCATCAGTGTGTTGCCATAGTTGCCGCCACTGTTTAGAACTTTCTCTGCAATATCTCGTGTGATGCCAGAAAAGAACCATCTTCAAAAATTAAAATAGTAGCAAGATTAATATAATGCCAACCATAAAATGAAATAAAATTGAAGTATATAAAACGATATATTCACAAAAACATATGAGCCAACTAATTTCATTTACCCTGCACGATTGCATGAAAACATAAAGTTTTGCTTTCAGCGCAAATACTAAACATCAAAACTTACTTTTACAAAATTATTCAACATCTTCCTGTAAATTAAAAGGTATTTCCTGAGGAAAAACACATAAATAAGTGTTAGGTCTATTTAACAATCTTTACAATCTAAATGAAATGAAAGTCATCTGTGTCCTGTTTAAACTCATCAATGTTTAAACTCATCAATGTGGGTTATGTTTGTTCTAGTTCTTTGAAAAGTTTATGTGTCAAGTAGGTGTATACATGTATTCAACTCACGTGGGTATTTCGCTGTTGTCTGGGTCCCTCCAAAATCTGTGTCTCTGAAATATCAGGAATTACTTTAGTCACAACTACCTCATTGTCAAATAGACATCAACTTTCTTCTTATAAATTATCAATAATTGTTAAATCATATGTGACACATTCCATACATACACACTATATGGGTCAACTAGATGGCTATAGGTTTTTAACACTTTAAGGTTTCTTTACGGTATAACTCAATAAAACAGTACATTGATATTTCAGTAAGGAGGAAAAAAAATAAATTTCACAGACATGTTAAAATACTCGTTCCCTGAAAGCTACATGTACACCATGCAAAAAACAACTTCTAAAAATTGTAACATGGTTTTTATAACTTAAAAATTAAAGGGACAATTATTCAACTTAGTATGATCTGATTTTAAGGTCTTGTAACATACGTTGTTTGCATGTTCTAGAGGTTTCAATGTAACTATCTATTTTGATATCAACTTGAAAATAGAAAATACGGTATGTTACGTGCAGGTATCTTCAGTAAAGTTAGTACTGACTGACTGACTGAGTTTAGTTTTACGCCGCTTTTAGCAATATTCCAGCAATATCACGGCGGGGGACACCAGAAATGGGCTTAACACATTGTGCCCATGTGGGGAATCGAACCCGGGTCTTCGGCGTGACGAGCCAACGCTTTAACCACTAGGCTACCCCACCGCCCCAGTAAAGTTAGTAAACGATATAAGTTGGTTAGTGTGTTATCTTAAACATTGTTACTAACTGCATACAAAAAGGCCTTCATCTTAAGAAATCTAAATAAACGATATTTTCGTGGATTACACTGAAACCATTTCTTGTTGAACTCAACTCGGTAAAGAGAAAGGACTTGCGATACCATAATAGTAAACTCATTTAGCATGGTGAAAACTGGACAACATCTTACAAAGATCATTCTTTTCATGTCATAGTGGTAGCTATAATTATAAGGGTATGATGTTGTAACGTATGTTATATTTTTCATATTTCAAAAGAACACTGAAACATTACTTAAAAACACAGAGATAACGATGGACCCATGAATTTATTCACTGTTTGTTTTCAAGAATTATAGTCGATTTGGTAAACAGAAAATGTATGCAGAGCACATTTTCATCATTTTAATGATCAACTTCACAATGTTTTGCTATACTTAAACACACAAACAGGAAATATGCAGGGGAAAGTGTGCTTAGGGTAGATTTTACATCACTAGGTTATGAGTTAATTATTCTTGAACCGTTATGATAAATGTTAGATGCCAACATATTCTAGACGTCATGTTGTGGGCCTTGCACTTTCCTGTAACGTATGTTACCTTGCACTTTCCTGTAACGTATGTTACCAATTTGTAAATGCCTTTCAAGAACACCAGATATGGGTTTCACGCATTGCGCCCATATGTGGAAGTGAACCAGGTGAATGGTGTGACAAACAGACACTTCATTCACTGGGCTATTTCACTGCCCTGGCCACCCGTGGAACAGCTTATGTAACCCGATCTTCTTTCACAAAACATACTAATCTACACACTGAAATGATCTTAACCATTGATAAGCTTGATTTTGAAAACCATATGACATTCTATATGCTGAAATGACCTCAACCACTGAACAACGTATCATAGAATCAAACAACAATGTACGTACTGGATCTGCCTTAATTAGCCTGCTGCTCATAAACTGATGTTATGTGGACTATAGGCCTCTTCACAAAGCAGTCTAGACCATCAGGATATTCCAGTCAATACACCTACCCGTATGGCTTTTATTACTGATTATACTTATACTAATGGTTGCTGGCTGCTGATCTGCTGTTTTGGGAAGTACTTCTCAAATTCCCGAATATGCAGTTATCTAGTTGTTGGATTGAAACTGACAACAACAGGTTGATCTGTGCTTTACAATGTAAGGCATGCAACCATCATGGAGTTTTTGTCCGCAGATATTACACAAGATATACAATCCAGCCTATAACAGGTTCTTACTGTCGGGATTTGTTTGTGAGGTCCCGATCCATTGTTTGATTTGAAACAGGCCTGTCTGTTCCATGTAATAGTCTTGACGTGACTCACTCAAGCGACCCAGCAACGGGCACCAGCTACCAGCAACAAAGTTGCATCACCGCACACAGCAGTACTGTCCTACACCTGTTATGTTAACTTCATTCCTTTCTGAAAAATGTTATAGATATGAGTCTCCTTATCTAGACTCTGAACAGATAGCTTCTTCCCATGTTGGTGAGTTATTGATAGAACGCATGGCAACATAATTGAATTGTTGTGAGAGTTTCTATGTTCATGATTTGAGTGGTCACGTGTGTGTGGTTATTAAACTGCCCAACCCTATCTAGCCCATCCCCAATCTTACCTTACCCCTCCCACTTCTATCCCCCATCGCACCCAACTTTGCCCCTCCCCCTCTATCCACAATCTCACCCCACTTTGCCCCCCTCTATCCACAATCTCATCCCACTTTGCCCCTCCCACCTCTATCCACAATCTCACCCAACTTTGCCCCCTCCCCTCTATCCACAATCTCACCCCACTTTGCCCCCTCTATCCACAATCTCATCCCACTTTGTCCCTCCCACCTCTATCCACAATCTCACCCAACTTTGCCCCTCCCCCCTATCCACAATCTCACCCCACTTTGCCCCCTCTATCCACAATCTCATCCCACTTTGCCCCTCCCCTCTACCCACAATCTCACCCCACTTTGCCCCTCCCCTCTATCCACAATCTCACCCCACTTTGCCCCCTCTATCCACAATCTCATCCCACTTTGCCCCTCCCACCTCTATGCACAATCTCACCCCACTTTGCCCCCCTCTATGCACAATCTCATCCCACTTTGCCCCTCCCACCTCTATCCACAATCTCACCCAACTTTGCCCCTCCCACCTCTATCCACAATCACACCCCTTTCACATTTTATACTCCCCTTAGTCCCATCGTACTCCACATTCCATTCATTTTTACCTATTTAAGCTACTTTCAACTTCTAGGACTTTACCTTCCACCTTACCCTTCAACTGACTTTAACCGCTCGACCCAGTATACTACCCGTCCCATTCCTCGTTGCCTAGTTCCAACGCGCTCTGAACTTCAACACTCATGTTTCATTCAACCACTTTCACTTGGGTAGCACCACTGCCAAGTTCCTATGTTATTTTCTGCTGGGGTTACCCCACTCCCACCGTCAGTCTCACAAGGTAAAGATCTTACCTGTTTTCCATCCATACTGCGTTTGTGCTAAGGTCTGTTTAGACGTGAAAGAGGTTGAACATGTAAGCAGGTTAAGTAACTAAACCTGAACCTGCAAGAACGTCTCAACAATGAGTACTACATACTTGGCTGTGTACATATGTAAATGTTTTGTGTTTCACGATGCATAACTGCTGCCGATTCAGTGACAAAACATAACCGTTTTAAATATATCAATTACCCGCGCAAACAATGGTTCACACACGCATAGCCACCCTGCAATTTCAACAAGGAAGTGACTTTGTAACAAGCATCTTTGTTATTACATCCTCACTCACTATCATTGGTCCGCCATTGTCCAGAGACAAGTGTGATTGGTTGTCGGGGAAGATAGAGGTGATGCTGTTGTCTGGGGAGGAGAAGCCTGTACCCACACTGCTGCTGTCGGGGGGCATCCGAGAAGAGGAGATGGGAAGTGGTGGGTTCTGGGACTTGCCCCTTACACGTTGTATGTCGTCCCGGATCTTGTGGATCTGACCCGGCAGAAGGTCAAGACCATCAGAAACATCGCCCTTCAAAGAAGGAAAAATAGATATTTAATAGATCTGAACAGTGCCTAACTACCATCGGGTTATTTGGTCTGTGTCTATCAGGATGACAGTTCACATTGTGGGATTGACATGCTGCTGCTGCTGTATATGATAAGGTTCGAAAGGGCAATATAGTTTCGTACGGCTACTACACCACAGGTCGCACTGAAACAGGAACCCCCGTGTAGCCCAAACCGAAGTGAGTGAGTGAGTTTAGCAAATCAAAACCAAAGGTTTCAGCTACGAGTAAAGTTGTTATTGAGCCAGATGAACATATGAGGTGAGGTGAAACGTCGTACTTGAGAATATTTTGCTCATATGACAACGTGCATGCGTGTGTATGTGCGACTGCTTGTACTAGGCTAGACTGAAGCTGGTTTTATAGTGCTAGCCCACTGAGATACCATGCCGCAGTGAAGCATAAATACCCCACTCAGACACATTATACTGACTCCGAGCCGACCAGTCCTTGTTGTATCCATTAATGCCGAGCGCCAGGCAGGGACCAACAAGTACCATATTTTAACGTCTTTTGGTATGACGCGCTCGGGGATCGAACCCGCGACCTTCCGCGGACGCTCTAACCACTACACAACGGTTGAAACATTGTGTTTGGTCACAGCAGGTAATTTTACTAATGTTGAAAGACCATCAATACCTTCAGCGAGTGCGTTGGTCGTCATGACGTTCTTGTGGCCAAGTTGGGTATACTGATGACCACACTGGTCACCAAATGGGCCTCTGTCCGTCTCCCATGTGCTACTACCAAACGTTGCCACTTCACAACGTGTGACAGTAATTATCGTTTCCCAAAAGTTTCACACCTATTATGATTGTATCAACCATTAAAGTCCAATGCGAGCTTTGGATTTGTTTCCCGTGACTACATTCTATTGAAAAAATATATATCTCTTCTAGATCACTTGCGTTCACCACAGTGCCTTACGTTCATACGTTCTGAAAGACTGAATCCCAAAGTGCAAGCATCTGTGTAGACGGGAATCTTTCCCCAACTGACGTTGATGGATCCATTGTAAATCGCTGGGGCGTTCCTTTTGTGTACTGTCTTTACTCAGATGGGGGTAAGGCATGTCAAACGTGAAGTCTTTAAACAATCTAAAACCTTACACACAGCAGTTACATCACTAATTTGTGAACATTTTGAAGTTGCATCATGCCATTCCTCCTGGTGAAATTTGTTAGATCGGTCACTTTTTTATGGAATATACTTTCTGTGTTCACCAATTATTACGATTATCTTATGTTTTACAGATGAAAATATAATGCAGCAGAGAGAGGTTGGACGGTCCTGGCACAGCCATGGTGATTAGGCTCATCAACAGCTCAACCCGTGAAGATCGGGATCGAGTGGTCAGACTTGTTGACTTGGTTTACACATGTTATCGTATCCCAACTGCTTAGAACGATCCTCATGATGTTTATCACTGGATTGTCTGGTCCAGACTCTATTATTTACAGACCGTCGTCATATAGCTGGAATATTGCTGAGTGCGGCGTTAAACAACAAACCAAACATCATCAGCTCAGGTACCCGTGCCGCCTGCACACTACCAGGAAGCGCTGTCAGGTCGAACCCACACAGAACTTTCTGGAGAATATAGAGACTTGCCCAAACCACAGCCTTCTGCATTACCTAGAGTATCAGAAGGACTGTACCCCCGATTGAAATCAAGAGTACACGCCTGATCTGCGCCAAGAGAGAGAGGTGCAAAAACCAAGGGCACTGGGAACATGGCGAACAGTGTACTTGGGATGGAGCCGGGATTCAAAGGCAACGTCTGCATATTTATCATGCTTTTTCTGAATCACATTGTTGTCAAAATGGACAGTATAAATTCAAGAACATAAAGACATTCATTGTCTATTTTTGTTGGCAGGGATTTCTTTGCTGTATATGAGTATATTCCAAAGTATTTAATTTGTCATTTTCAGGGTCGAAAACGCTACTAGAAACAACGAGCCATGCCATCAGGTCGGTTAAGATATGTTGTTTGTGCCAAGGAAGGACATCCACTGACAAGGTGTTGAATAGTCTCAGTGAATTCATTACATAATTGAAACTTCATTATCATTATTATTGTTGTTGTAATTACTCAACTTAAAGGGGCGGTTGGGTAATGTAATGGTTAATCCGTCCGCTCATCACGCTAAAGACCCGGGTTCGATTCCACTCGGAACAATGTGTGAAGCCAATTTCTGGTGTCCCCCGCTGTGATGTTGCTGGAATATTGCTAAAAGCGACGTAAACCTTACTCACACACTCACTCACACTTAAGTCGTTTCTAAAACATTTTCCTGAATATATTGAACCAGACACGGAAGAGGATGTCATGAAGTTTCTTGTGTAAAAACTAAACTGTTTGATAGTTTCTGCACTTGATAGCTTTCTGGATATTGATATTCACCTTTTCCTGTTCACATTCGGGGGGTTGCTTGCTTGCAAGTTTTCATATAATAGCTTTTTCTTTTATTATATTTTCTTAATAGATTTGCCCTCCTAATTCACGTCACAGTTGTTCAATAATTATTCAAATTGTTGTCCTCAACATGTCCTCAAGTCTGTTGATGGTGACATGCCGTTACACATTAGCTCGTCCAGCCGAAGATCTGGGTTGGATTCTTCATATGTGCATCTGTGCCGTGTTATTGCTGGAAGAGTGCATAAAACCATGCTCACTCAGACTCTGTCAGTACACCACATCTCACTTACATCCTTACCATGTTGTGTATTGTGTTGTTAAACTAAATCAGTTTCTTACCTGCGCCAGTCCAATAATGAATGCCTTCCATAGCTCTCGTTCGCTAAACTTGGTTGTCTGAAAGGATGGTAAATGTATTTTAATAATAAAAAACTAAGGTTTATAAGACCAGGTCATACCGATGTAATTACTTGTTTTACAGATCTCCCCTTGAAACTACCAGAGGTGGGATCGAGGATTAGAAATAGAAATAATGTACATATATTTTGTTATATCAACAGCTAATTCTTTACAGCATTGTGACCTTTATATAGTATGACCAGAAATTATTGAGAATTTTAGGAATATGTTCAATTGGATTTCTAGTATAAACAACCTTGACCAGCTATCAAGTGCTTGGTTTCATTCAAAAGAGACAACTCCGTTAATCCTTTTCATTAGTTTGTGAAGAGTTACCCCCCTTTGTTTACTTGCTAGCAGACGACATTTTCAGTGATCCTCCGTATGGATGATTTAGAGAAGAGGAAGTTGATTTTAGAGTATTATAACAAGGACATCAGATCAGCTAAAGTGATTTCAAGTAGAACAGGCATCCCTTTGTCCACTGTTTATCGTGTTTTATAAAATATTGCAAATGGATATGGCATTGAGCACCAGGGAGGCGCAGGTAGGCCCAGAAAATTGACTGTCGGTGACAGGAGGCGGCTTGGTATTCTTGTTTCTAAAAACCAAACGAAGGAGTTTAGAAAACTTAAGGCTGGATATGATTGATAGAGGAACTGTGGCTGTCTGTAAGGTGACAATTAGAACTGAGCTTCATGCAATGGGTTGGCAGAAAAATCGATGAATTCCATCACCGATCATGAAACCTGAACAAAAGGAGCAAAGGTTGAACTGGTGCTTACAGCATAGAAATTTTAACTGGGACAATGTGATTTTCTCTGATGAAAGTTCTTTGTGGCTGCTTCCTAATACACTGAAATTCAGGACCAAACAAACTGAAAACCTTTGTATCAGCGCCCAATGTACAGTCCGAAATTTAACGTGTGGGGCAACCCCCCTCTGTATGTGTGAAGGGAATATGAACAGTGAGCGGTACACAGATATTCTCAAGGGCCATTTACTTCCATCTGCTCACGTGTTCTATGGAAAGTTTTGGATTTTCCAGCAGGACAACGACCCAAAACATCGTTCAAAGCATTCACAGGCCTGGTTTCGGTCCCAAAATATGACATTATTAGATTGACCAAGCTATAGCCCTGACCTAAATCCAATATAAAAAGGTTGGGGACTTAAGAAGGAAAGTGTCAATAAGAAAAATCTGACAAATATTGCTGAAATGAAGTAAGATGCGGTCCGATATTGGGACAGCATGGACCATGACTTTCTAACTTCTTTGATCAGTAGTATGCCCCGCCGCATTGAAGCCTGCATTGCTGCCCATGGTGACTTGACAAAATACTAACTGTTCACCTGTCTTTGAATCTGGAGTTATGTTCTGCTATATTCACATTTAATACGTGAGTAATGAGTGAATTTTAAATAAAAAATTACAATCTTTAAATTCTCAATAATTTCTGGTTGTACTGTAACAATGGTATTTGTAAGGTACATGCATACTCTCCAGTCTCTCAGGTATGGTCTGAATGAGCACAGAAGACACTATGACAATGTCACTGTTATTATTGTGACAGGCTACAAGACAGCTAAATCTTGTTTTGTAATTCCCAAGGAAGGCACTAACACACTTTGTGTACAGAATAAAATTAAACGGGTACTTGGGTTACGCGACCTCATCCATCCCAACTTCCTTGATGAACCGAGGTAAGTAATATATACAAGAAGGTTGGCCCGCTACTTCCTGGACCATGGCTCAGCCAATAGTTGAAAGAGTCTCCACTTCCTCGTTCGTGTGCCATGTGTAAGGCGCTTGCGATTGCTGAAGCTTATCTTTGCAGCTATATAGGTGGTAACCTGGGGGTACTCTGAAACAGATCCCCTTCCAGGCCTGTGTTGTCATCCCGAGGAAGCCATTCGTTTTTAGGAATCAATACCATATTATATTTTCGGTCGTCCAACGACGAACTGTCAGAATTTTATAGAACAATACATGTTTATAACACAAACGATACGGCCCGTCCTACGATAAGAAATGTTGCTTTGGAGATACAGGAAGACTAGATGGCCTGATGCTGGGGACTGATTGCATGTCATCTGGCCCGGATTGGGAGGGTTGATGCTCACCCAGGGTTTGCCTGGTACAGACTCGACTATTTTCAGTCAGCCATAACTTGAACATTTCTTACTTCCATATATACCGTCGGAATATGTTCCTGGGGATAGTTAATACTGGTTATTCTTTTACAATGACTTCTATATTTACTCAAAGTCGTCACTTTTTTGGTGGAAGTGTAAATGTATGGGTTGACATCACAACATATATGAAATCATTCTTATTGGCAATTTGGATCAATATGATACCCGTGAGGAGCGAGAGAGGATCGGGCAACATGGCATGTATGTCATGAGACGAAACGTTTATTTGTAACGTAGAACGTAAATCAATATCTACGGTACCATCTACGTGCTGGGATAACTGCCGGTACACTACGGCGCACATATATATCCCCCCGTCAATCGTCGTATCAGTTGCAGTGGACATTTTGTGATTCTTGGTGCAAAGCTGCTTCCAGCTCATGCTGATTTTGAACCGCTGCGTGTATCCGCCAGCCGATAAAGTCTCAAATGTGCTCCATGGAGTTCAGGTCTGGACTTATGACGGACCACGGGAGGTAATTCACTGTAATATTCTGAAAAAGCTGTCACTGCACGAGGACGGTGTGGCCTGGGGTTGCCATCCATATATACAGGCATGGTAGCAAGAGGATGATTATCAACACAGTGTACAACAACTGGATCAGTAATGCCTGGATATACCGTCATGTTTACAGTCATAATACATCCCCACACCAAGGTGGAACCTCCACCAAAGGCAACAGTTGGTTGAATGTCTTTTGCTGCAGATGCTGTCTTTCGCTGCCTTAAAACTCTAAAGCGTCCGTCAGTTTCATGAAGAAGTAATGGGCTTTCATCAGACCAATGTATTCTTCGCTAAGTCCTCAGATTCCACCGTTGCCGTGCTAAGCACTAAGCCAAAAGTCTTTGTTTGTAATGATCGCTCGGTAGAGGACGTTTAATGACCCTTCTAGAGTTGTGCCCGGCTCTCCTTAGGCGATTAAGGAAATGGTAACCAGTGGCTTTTCATAACAGTGTTTGTGGCAAGTGGTTTCCGTCTTCTTGTGAGCCTCACTAGTGCATTGTCTTCACGATCTGACGTCACCCTGGGCCGTCAAGAACGTGGGCGATCCTTCATCTCATTGGTTTCCCTGTATTTTCTGACCAAACGACTGACAACTGTGTAGTGGACATTCAGTTCCCGACCATATGCTTTGAAGGACAGTCCGGAGATATGCATGCTTATAACTTGCCGTCTCTGGCCATCTGATAATCTTTCTTGTACCATTGTGGCAGAAAACTGCAGGTTATATGCAGGTTATATGCACAAACCGCACTTTTGAAAATTCGTGGGTTGCTTCTTGGCATGCTCCATAGGGTGTGTTTGGGAGACACTGTCCACCAAGTACACTTGCAATAATTTCTTAAATGAACGTTATTATCATACGTATCATTACAAACTAGCTAAACATTAACATGTTTTTGTTAGCGGTCATCCCATTTAGGGGTGTTAGATATTGTTATCCGATACGCATGGCGTCCCTAACGCGCGTCCTAGCCGTCATGTGTCGAAAACAATGCACTAAGAGCATCTTAATACCGTTCTCACTCATTCATCCAAATATTTTTTTAAATTATTTTTTATTACGAACATCCCTGTTACAAATATGGATTCCTGTCCAGGGAAGCAGGGGCCCTTTGTAGTTAATACTTGTGTTAGTTTGGAGTTTTCATAATTATAATCAAATCAGTAGCAGCCGTGATATGAGGGAAACGCTGTTTAATATAGTGCTGGACGTATTCTCGCCCCGTGCTCCTACGAGGGGAGTATTGATTAGAAACAGTAGACACGATATTTCCGATAGTTAGCTCCAGGCAGTGAATTCTTCCCAGGCATTCAACATGGTACTTACCCTAAACTTGTTGAGTCGTTTGGTGGTGTACAGGTCGAATCTATAACCCTTCTTCTCATCACTCTCCCCCGTCCTGTACTTGGTATCGGAGCCAAGCTGAAGCACGCCAATATGCTGCAACAAAGGAACAGCCCAGATCATCTATAGCCATATCGTGAAGACGTGTCTCGAAAACCGCTCTCGACGAAGACGAAAAGTTGTTCCAAAATCAAACACAAATCAAGAAAAATTGAAGCCATCCATCACAAAAGGTATTAATATTGAACTGAACGAACATTTATTGAAATATCTACACAAGTTTGCAAATCTTGTGCCGCGAGTTGGACTCATATGACTTTAATTGCTGTCTGAAAATTTTCAACGGTGGCTCAATACAACGAGGCTGGTAATTTCGTCGAAGCAGTCATGACACAGCCAGATGTGACCGAATATATTGAAGTTAATTGTGAGCCTAGAATTCCTGACGAAGATTTACGGGACAAGTAACGCTGACATTCTAGCCGCCATTGAACATATGAGAATACAGTTCACGAAACAGTTATGAGAGAATGAAGATAGGGCGGCCCGTAAACTCGCCGCAGCACCCAAGAAAGAAACCGAGGCTCTTAAACGCGACTTTGACGCACAAATCCCAATCCTAGTGGATAAAATCAGGCATATTGAAAGTGACCAAATTGCTGCACAAACTGAAATTAAAGCAAATAAAGACAGTGTCGACGCCAAAATTAATTCGTTGGAATCTAAGCTTTCTAAGGTGGTTAAACGATCAAATCCGGCAGTGATTCACGAATGCTCTGTTGTAATACGAAATTTAGCGGCGGACAAGAACGAATCCAACACTTCGGGTGTCATCTGTCAGTTGGTAAAAAAACTCATACGCGATGAACTGGAATCAGTCCGTGCAACGTGTGCAGAACGCAAGAAGCGGAGGCGCCGGTAAACCGGGTGTTGTGGTTGTCAGGCTAGAATCACGTGATCAGCAAAAACTGTTATTGCAACACAAGAAAAAGCTGAACAGAAAACAGTAAAGACTATGGTAAAGTTTACATTGACGCAGCCATGTCTCGCGGTCAAACTTGAGAACTGTGATAAATGAATGTGGACAAGGCAAAAAGTTGCGTTTTTATGGCAACTGACTGGTCACAGATAAAGAATAGGATAGTGTGAGGCTTGGTTATGGAACTCCTGTGGATGGTCTAAACATGTACATGTATCTAACAATAGTCTTTTCAGGGAGTCTGTTTTAACCGATTTGGACTGCGATATTTTTGAGTTGTGCGAGACAGTTTTGAAAAGCCGTGACTGTATTAACGTCGATGGATACAAATGGTATGGCAATAACCGCCGTACAGTCAACGCAAGGGCCAAGCGGGGCTCTGGGGGAGTTAGTGCCTTTTTTAAGCTAAGCTTTTTAGAATCTTTTAGTGTTACCGTACTAGATGCAGACACAGAGGACATGATATGGTTTAAGATCTCATCGCGCACTGCTAGGGACGTCAGTCTTGTGTTGTGCGTATGTTACCTGCCCCCAGCTGGCTTCACGCGAGCTACCGATACCTTCTTCAATAACCTAATGGAGAAATACTACCTATATCAGAACTATGGAACACCATGTATATGTGGCTTTTTCAACGCTCGTGTTGGATCCGAGAAAGACTATAGGCCTATTGCAGGTGTGGACAATATCGCCAAGCGTGAAGTAATCGACACTACTCTAAACGCTCAAGGTGCCTCTTTCATTGACTTTTTCGTGGATGCGAATCTATGTCTAGTCAACGGACGTGTAGGTCAACAGGATTTTACCTACATCAAGAACGGGTGCTCAGTCGTGGATTATGTAGTTACTGCACAAGAGGACTTGGTAAAATTCAAGGCCTTTAAAGTTATGAAAATGTCATCACTTATTGATGGGTCGAATATGCCTGATGTTGTACCCGACCACTCAGTATTGTTGTCAGAAATAACTCTGCCTTTGACAGTATGTGACGTGTCTGTTGATCGAGTGCCTGTAGACAGTGAGCAAGAATATAAACGTTATGATCAAAGCAAAATTCATGGTGATTTCCTTTCATGTGCAGATTGTGTTTCTCTTCTGAATGATACCTTCTGAAGTGCAGATTGTGATTCTCTTCTGAATTTTGTAAAATGGAATTGCATCTGTGTAACCAGAGTGATGTTGACGCTGCGTATGATGAATTTTTTAATTGTTTGTATGTTGAACTTGGTAAGGTTGGGGAGATTTACCGTCATAGGCCTCTTTGTAAATAAACTAAATCAGTTTATAAGCCATATTGGTGTGAAGTTCTAAAGGTTAAGTGGGATGCGGTCTCTACTGCAGAACGTGACTGGTTAAAGTGTAAATCGCCTTTTCGGAGAAAATCACTTAAAAGAGATTATTTATCTAAACGTAAAGCTTTTGACAAAATGCTCCGTTCACGTAAACGTTCTTATCAGAGACAGCAGCAACAAATTCTCCTTGACAAGTATAAGGATAAGGATTCTAGGGAGTTCGGGAAGGCTATAGGGAAAATAGGAACAGCTAACGATAGGTGTAGCTCTATTCCCTGGGTAGTTGTGGAAAATGGGGTTGTTGTCTCTGATGAGGATAAAGTTTTGGATAAATGGCAATCCGATTATTGCCAATTATATAATGGCGACACTAGTGATAGATTCGATGATAATCACTTGCATCATGTAGAAGAGAGTGTATCCTCCAACTCAGGTCTTTGTAACAGTGGTGCTGATTCAAACTCTTAAATACATCTATATCACGTGATGAGGTTATTCATGCTATTAATCGTGCTAAATATGGTAAAGCTCCTGGATTAGACTTCATACACGCATTAAAAAACAGCTACTGTATAGATGTGTTATTACGCATATTTTCATATTGTTTTGATAATAATGTTTGCCCTGATATCTGGCGACACAGCTTAATTTATCCTATTAAAATGGCCGATACAGACCCACGTGACCCGTTAGGGTATCGCGGAATTTCCTTGCTATCAATACCTTGTAAACTATACGCGGATATTTTAAATACACGTTTTTCAAAATGGTTGGAACAAAATAACCTTTTGGCAGAAGGACAAAACGGCTTCCGAAGTAAAAGGAGTGCAACGGAACACATATATAGTTTATACTCTACTGTGAAGAACCGAAAGTCTGTTAATCTCCCGACGTATGTTTGTTATATCGATGTGTGAATCGCGACTGTCTGTGGTATAAGTTACTCAGATTGGGAGTAAACTGAAAGTTTCTTCAATCGGTCAAATCGTTGTATGATAATAACACCTCTCGGGTTTTTGATAACGGTAAAATGACCGGTAGTATCGCTGTATTTAGCGGTGTAAAACAAGGCTGTGTTCTGTCACCGACACTTTTCTCGGTTTTCGTAAACGATTTAGTTGAAGAGATTATTGATCTAAAGTGCGGGGTAAAGGTAGATAACTCCATAATCAATATGTGCTGTATGCGGACGATGTCGCGCTCGTTGCCCCTGATGAAGCGTCGTTGCAATCAATGTTAAACTGTGTCGCCAACTGGTGTAAGAAATGGCGTCTCCAAATAAATAGCAAAATAACTAAAGTTGTTCATTATCGTAACATGTCCTCTGTTAGATCATCTTATCATTGTACTTGTGGTGAAGAAAATATAGAGATTGTGCATTCTTATAAGTATCTTGGGCTTTGGCTTAATGAATATTTGGATATGAATTATACAGCAAAAGAAATAGCTAAGTCAGCTAGTAGAGCTCTTGGTGTAATAATCTGTAAGTTTAAAGCAGTGGGAGGAATGGACTACAGTGTATTTAATACTTTATATGATAATTTAGTCCAACCAATTTAATCGTATGGTTCGGCTATTTGGGGCACTAAAGAATTCAGTTGTATTAATGCTATTCAAAATAGGGCTTTACGCTTTTCCTCGGAGTAGGCAATAAGACACCCAATCTGGCAGTTAGGGATGAATTGGGTTGGACATCTAATTTCACAAAGCGAAAAATTGATATTTTACGTTTTTGAAAAAAAAATGAGTTTGGCAGATGAAAATAGGCTAACGAAGATTGTACATGCTGGTCCCTCAAATTTCGGAAATCATGGGAAAATGCTGTTATGAAATTATTTGAGGTGCAATCAGTTACTCAAGTGGTAGATAATTTATTATCTCATAATTTTGTCTATGCATGAAATGCGCTTATTGATAATGATAAGGATTTATGGTTGAAGCAAATTTGGGATGATAAAGGGTTAACTAACGGTAATAAACTGAGAACTTATCGACAGTTCAAAATGTCTGATAATACCTCCCAGTATGTGACTAATGTATCCGACAGAGAACATCGCAGTTTATTGGCAGAGTTTAGATGTGGCACCCTTCCCCTTGAAATTGAACTCGGTCGCTTCTCGAAACCAAAAACCCCATTAACTGACCGTATTTGTAAACATTGTAACGCTAATAGCATTGGAGACGACGTTCATTTTCTAACATCATGTAACCTTTATGTAGACTTAACAGCTTAAGTTTGGGACCGTGCTTCGTCTCTTAGTCCGCTTTTTTGTTTATTGACTCCTGTAGAACAGACCATATTTCTCATGCAGTGCGACAACCTATCCAACTCCGTAGCCTCAGTAATTAAATCTATGCATAGGCGCAGGTTATATCACAATCCCCTATTGTCACAAGTGTAAATTGGTAAATATCAATACGCTATCTAGTACGTTAATATATATGAACGTGTATTTTAAATGATTATCAAATGCCCTCGTGTATTTGTAACATTTGCACGTAAAGTGCTTTTACAATTTTTGTATACATGTATTTTAGCATCCTGGTGTCTAATAGGCCCACGTTGGCCGGGTGTTGTGTTTTTTTTACACTGTTTTATCATTTTATGTGATTTTCATGCTCAGCACTGGACACCCGAATAAACTATTTTTTCTTCTTCTTCTTCATATCATGTTTGTCTGTAGTCGGGATATGTCGCCTGGAAGTGAACAGTATAGTATTATCTTGTTTCAAACAAACGCAAAGTTGTTGACGTAGCACGGACATTTTGTCATTTACAAACCTCTTTATGGATGGAAATTGGAAAATCTTGAAGTAAGGCAAAGAGCTGAATTTCACTGGTGTTGCAACTTTTTGGCGAGAAGCAACGAGTGGTCGAGAAACATTGCAACAAGCGTTCCCTGTATAAGACTAGACACAGAATTCAATATCACTGCCACCCACAGCAATCTCCAAGTGGGTGAGTATGGTTTTACACAGCTTTTAGCAATATTCCAGTAATATCACGGCGGGGGACACCAGAAATAGGCTTCACACACTGTGCTCATGTGGGGAATCGAACCCGAGTCCTCAGCGTGACGAGCGAACGCTTTAACCACTAGGCTATCCCAGTCCCGTACTGCAGAATTTCACCATGACACGTCCAAGCGAAAACGAAGGCGAGCTGTGTGGGACCACGTGAGGAGGGAGTAATGACTGGCCCTTCTACGGTAAGAGGCCATCCCCTTAGTGACTGCCCATCCATGACAAACACTCGTAAAGACATGCGGATTCGAACCACACAGGTTCTAGACAACAACTCCCACCAGAGACCATATAAAGGATCTAGGACATCAATACCTCCAGACAGCAGAACATTAACGCCAGCGCCAAATGTGTGAATGTTAATTTGTACGCATGTCGTGCAAGGTCTGTTCGTCTCTCACTCTTCGAACGTGACTAGAATGACATGGAGGACATTAGTGACATTACGGGGACTCCGGCCCTCAGACATTTAATACCCGTGAACATCCGGTCCTCAGACATTTAATATCCGTGAACATCGGGTCCTCAGCAACCCATGCTTGTCATAAGAAGCGACTAACGGGATCGGATGGTGAGGCTCGCTGACTTGGTTGACACATGTCATCGTATCACAATTGCGTAGGTCGATGCTCATGCTGTTGATCACTGCATGGATTGTCTGGTCCAGACTCGATTATTTACAGATCGCCGCCATGTCGCAGAAATATTGCGGAGTGCTTCGAAAAACTAAACTCACTCGCTCACTTGTAAAATGTGGAATTCGACACGTAACAAATATACTTTCATGAATGTCCCAAGATCAAATGAAAATATGTCTTGTGAGCTGCCTGATGTTGTGAATACTTATACATGACCGTAAAATGGAAAGAAAAATAAATTACGGATAACAAGAGTAATGTTTTGGAGTAGATTTGGAATGTCGTCGCTTTTAAAAATATGCAAGACGTTGTCTGCTGACTTTGTGAGCGTTGCAAAAAATAGCATATAATTGCTAACAGCCTTTGAATTCCTTATACAGACATCAACGTCTCCCGAGAAATGTTGTTTACTACTAGCAAATTATACGTCAGGGTTAGTTTGTTTTCCAAAGTCGCACTTGGAGCAAATATAGGATTAATAATTCATATCACTGTACGTCCTCTCCGTGAATTATGCTTTAACGTTATTGGGTTGCGTCAGACCTCGTTGGCTCTTTACATGAATTCCATTTGCAGATATGACCTAGGTAACTCCAATCGATGAAGTCCCAAATACACCTTTTACAAATCAATGTCGACGTATGGTAGCACTACGACTGCTTCTTGAATTAACGTATCCGTGTACACTTTAGTACCCAGGGCCTAGATTTTCGAAGCTCTCTTAGCGCTAAGATAGTCGTAAGTGCCATTCATTAACATTAACTTACGACTATCTTAGCGCTAAGAGAGCTTCGAAAATCTAGGCCCTGGCCCCGATTTCTCGAAACAAACTTAAGTTTTTACTCAAAATTTCAAACTGAGTTTGACAATTTGAAACAGCTGAATTTTTAACTCAACTGCATTTTGTAAATAAAAAAAAAGCCCAAACAACTTAAGAAATCTATCCACCAAACTCAAATTGTCTATTAAGTTTGAGTTTAATATTGATTTCAGTTTATTCTGGGAAATGCATTTTCCTGCATTTTGTCAAATTTGAGTAAAAACTCAGACTTAAGTCAAAACTCAGACTTAAGTTTGTTTCGAGAAATCGGGGCCTGGTCTTGTGACTTGATACTTACATTTTCTCTGCTTGTATCCTGGTTTTTGAAAATATACAGGGTGAATTCCTTGATGACGCACCAATACTGCACCCACTTGGAATCCTGGGAAGAAATAAATGTCCTTGAGAATAAACAGTAACGGAAGGACTAAGATCGCGTCTCTGGGTAAAGTGATGCCAGCAGTAGGCTAATTCAGTTATTTAAAACATAATATTTGAGTCGACTTCTCCCAAGTAGACTAGACCCCAAGGTGAACCCTGGAACCATGCATGGAACGTTGGCCCTTCTCTTTGATCTCTCTCGGTTCCTTGATCTGAACACGATTGTGTGCAGGTTGTTGTGAAGGAGGCGGAATAGTTTTGCCAGGTCAAAGTCAAAGTCAAAGGTGTTTTATTGTAGCAAAGGCCATCAGCCCATATACAAGTTTACGTAAATACACTGGTTGAGAATATACCGATTAGTAGATACAGTGGAAAAAATAAAAATATAACATTCATTTAACAATTAGTGGTAATCAGAAGGACTTTTTAGAGTAAGATAAATCTGAAATCCCATTCAACAAGTTATTTCTTAGGTCCATTCCATGTTTTACAAATAGAGATAATTTAAATATTACATCGGCATCATTCGATGACAAAATAGAAACAAACCCTATTCTACTCAACTTAGATGAGAAACGTTCTGGCATATATTTAGTTCGTATTTCTGCATAATAAGGACATTCAAAGGTAAAATGTATTTCGTCTTCTATAGCAGAGTTACATAAAGGACAAATTCTTTGTATTATTTCAAGTGATATATTCCGTCCAAAATTAATCATTAACTTTGACAAGCCAAGTCTGTATTTAATATATATATTTCGTACAACATTCACATACTCGATGAATTAATTTAACAAATATTTCACTAGTCAATTCATTTCCTTCTTGCAGACAACGATTCTCCACATGGGTACAATTTGTGAAGCCCATTTCTGGTGTCTCCCGCCGTGATATTGCTGGAATATTGCTAAAAGCGGCGTAAAACTAAACTCAGTCAGTCAGTCAGTCCTTGCAGACAATGCTTGAAGATCTGTCGAGAGATAACCACAACATGTTAGACACTCAAGGTCCCCATGTAATGTCGCTCACCTGAGGCGGTGTTCATAAAAAAACATACCCTGAGACAAAGCTTGTGTTTTTGAAATACCCTAAGGTTTTATTTTTTCTGGCTTAAGATTAAAGATGGTAAAGTCATATTCCTAAAGCAACTTAGGCCTTATTTTTGGCAATATCTGACATAAATCATCAGGTAGATTCCGGGAGAGGTGAACGTTACAAAGCGTAGGTTGTGAAATATCTAGCCATCATGTAAGTAAAGTCTGGCTTGTATTAGATGTTCACATCAGCTGTCTGAGTGACGTCAACCCCATGTGAGAGGACAGCGTGCTCTTCACATCAGGGCCTCATGCCCCAAAGCGATCTTAGCGTCACGACAATCGTAAGCCTACGTTAATGTATTAGAGTTAACACTTTGTAGGACAGGGGCCAGAGTTTTACACCATTAAGGACAGCGCTTGTAGTAATACACGTCCATGTGAAGCATTACCACATTTGATACAGTATATGTAAAATATTGTAATTACGAAACATCTTGGGGCGGTGGGGTAGAATTGTGGTTAAAGCGTTGGCTCGTCAAGCCGAAGCCCGGGTTCGATTCACCACATGGGTACAATGTGTGAAGCCCATTTCTGGTGTCCACCGCCGTGATATTGCTGGAATATTGCTAAAAGCGGCGTAAACCCTAAACTCACTCACTACCAAAGCTAAGTGCAGATTGTATGACCCAAGATGCACACTCTTCGATGAATTCAATAACAAAATCCAAAGGATTGTTTATTGTCAATGAAATATATGTGTAAAACAAGCTTCAATCATGCGTGTCCTCGGATACAACCTCACGCGTGGCTTCACAATATACAGCTCCTATATCTGATTGATTATACGAATCATGTTCTTGATGACCCCCACGTGACCAGTCATCCGTTTTTCCAGGGTCAGTTATATTTAACGTGTAGTTAGAGAGCAGTTCAAGTTCGTAGATATGAAAACAAAACCTTGACATTCTTTGGGACACTTCTGTGTCCGACGAATCCTACTTCGCAATGTTTCACAAACCCCGAAGAGGAGATTTCCATTTTAAGATCTATTGATTAAAAGTGAATCAAGTGGATTGAGGTGGAGGGTTATAAATTTAGTACACAGCAACGTTAACCATGGACTAGCTGAATAGTCCTGGGTACCGTCGTCAACAACCCCTATACGATATTCAAGTTCAGGTACAATATCTGCAGTTACCGCTCTTCATGTGTATTTGAATACGTGTCGGTATTCAACCGTACTTAAAAGGGGAACTGATCTCCGACAAATCGCCGGGACTGGTTGCTGCCTTTGTTACAGAAAGGTTTTTCACCGTCTTGGAATTCACTGGGAAATATACTCATCTTTGTGAACCCTACGTATGTCGACCATGCCTAGACTGATATACTGGCTGCAAAATATGCCCATCTAGTTTATTTTTTAACATTTCTAACTACTTTCATCTCGAAGCGACTAACTTGTTATAACTAAAAGAAAACTGAAGTCAATGTTCGTCTCTATTTATGAGCTTATAATCCAGGCATAATTAATCTATGATTATGTTTTAGGCACTTTGGAACTTGTAACACATGCCAGTGTAACCATGCATCTCAGTCATCATACCATCCATGCATTAGAAATCCGACATGCAATGCTGGGAGACTTTAATAACATCAGACTAGGACTGTTAGGGATATTTCCAAATAACGGCTTGCGATGGACATCCACCCTTCTTGTTGTCTGCTTGATTAGCTTGGAGAATTTTATTAACTTACGTATATGTGTATACACATTGTCTTAGAATTTAAGTCTGCAATCCTGACAGACAGTAGCCCAGTCTTATATATGTCACGCTCTGTTGCGCCCGCCGGGAAATCTCTCATGGCAGCTAATGAGACATAGGTGGCAGTGTTAGATCAGTGAACCTTTAAGGTATCAGATCACCCCCAGGACCAAATCACTCGAGAATGATTTCGCCCTGGGATCAACAACTTTAGAATGATTTCAACGTGGGACCAAATCACTCCCCTCAGCATAATAACACACACCCTTTGCAGGAGGAAAACACTCCCCGTGGAAGGAGCACTCTCACTACTTCCTGCATTATATGTTGTAATGTATAGTTAGATTTGATATATATTTCTTCTTTTAATATATATCAATAAACACACCAACGTTATTTGTTATCACAGCAACTTGACTCAGTCAGTTATGTCATAGGCGGATCCGGGGGGAGGAGAGAGGTGCGCATCCCCCTTTGTCCTGAAAGTTTATTAAATGACCATTGAATCTCTCGTGATGCTGTATGCTGTATGCTGTCAAAATGCTGTATCCGCCCCTGGTTACATACCTTGTACCCCTTTGTGTTGTTGTGATCTGTAGTGCTTGTTGACATCTCAGAGTGTGTATGATACAAAGTTCACATGGACTACGGGTGTAGTCTATGTAAGATACCACAGGTAGGGTCGTATATTAGGCCATACCTGTATCGTCGTAACTGATGACGTTACCCTCAACACAGAGGTCACGGAACATTGTTTCCGGAAGAGGCCAATGCTCCTCCTTCAAGAACGACCCCTGTCGTAAAGACAGTGTACGCGTTGATTTATATACCACCTTGTGGTATCCCCAGCAATCATACTACATCTATGCTAATAGACACTGTATCAATGTGTAATAATTCACTACCACTGAACAGTCAGTGTCACCCTAGAGAACACTTCACACAGATTCAGCTGACAAGTTTATCAACGTAACGCTCCCAATACTCGACCCTAGTCAACTCCACTGCAGACGTCGGTGGAACTAGATGATACCACGATATGAAGGCGTCCTATTTACAGACGAATCTCCCTGCAACCAGTAAGCTCTGTTATACTCTCTAAGTCTTCATGTTTGCTTTTCTCACGGACGTCAACGCTACATATATAAACACTGGCAAATATGAATTTCCAATGAAGGAATTATAAAAGTCAAATGAAGTCTCCTTCAGCCGGTACCATACGGGTCGTGTGGTAGATGTGTTCCATATAAACAAGAATATATTTCCATTTGAAGCTGCCACGGTCAGTCGTACATCAATAGAGATTATTACACGAGCAAGTGTGTCATACGACTTATGCGAAGCTCGTGCAAAATTTTGTATTGCCCTCGCTTTCGCTCGGGCAATACAAAATTTCGCACTCGTTTCGTATAAGTTGTGTGGCACACTTGCAAGTGTAATAATTTATTTTATTATCCATTTTGTTCATGTGCATATGTGCATTAAAAATCACGGTAAGCAAGTGTGACTGTCCAGTTCATTGACGTCACGTTCAATTGTTTAATGACGTCACAGACGACGAACACACACACAGAAACAATGGTTGCTAGGCAAACGTTATATGTGCACCAAGAACCACATCATCTTCCTTGCTCCACTCACCCCACCAACAACCACATCATCTTCCTTGCTCCACTCACCCACCAACAACCACATCCTCTTCCTTGCCCAACTCACCCACCTATATACACATCCTCTTCCTTGCAACACTAACCCATTAACATCCACATCCTCTTCCTTGCACCACTCACCCCACCAACAACCACATCCTCTTCCTTGCACCACTCAACCCACCAACAACCACATCCTCTTCCTTGCACCACTCACCCCACCAACAACCACATCCTCTTCCTTGTCCCACTCACCCCACCTACAACCACATCCTCTTCCTTGTCCCAGTCACCCCACCCACAACCACATCCTCTTCCTTGCACCACTCACCCAATTACATCCACATCTTCTTCCTTGCACCACTCACCCCACCAGCATCCACATCTTCTTTCTTGCTTAACTCACCCAACAACAACAACATCCTCTTTCTTGCCCAACTCACCCACCAACAACCACATCCTCTTCTTTTGCCCAACTCACCCACCAACCGCCACATCCTCTTCCTTGCACCACTCACCCCACCAACAACCACATCCCCTTCCTTGCTCCAC